TCCAGAGAACCCTCCTAAGTTGCTGCCCAATTTACATTACCTTCAACAGCTGGTTTGTGGCAACATTAAACATGTAATAGAAGTTCCCAGAATAGTTTAAATGAAACCTGTAACAAATTCTTTATACAAGCCTTTTCTGCTTCTTATTTCCTGCAGCCTTTCAACAAGTCATAGGGATAGAGACATAGAGGCACATGATGCCAATAATTTAAAAAGTGTTGATGATGCTGTGCTGAAATCTGCCTTTTAATGTTCAGATTTACTGTGAGAAAGAGGCTATCTCAAATTTATTCGCCTCTATTGGTCTCTCAAGTTTGTTTTGATGGCATTTTTGGTTTGTCTTGATGCTACATAATAATTAGCAGTAGCCATGTTATTATTTTCTGTTACCTATCTTTATTGCATTCTGAAGCCTCGCTGGTTGCTCATACTTCCTGATGTGTAAAAAGCTTCACAGGAGTTTTCTTGAGATTTAATTAAAATGCAGGAAGCCAGGGAAACTGCAGACCATGGATGATTGTACAGTACAATGAAAGACAGGATGTACATAAATACCTCTGGCCACCTCGCAGCAAAGTAAGTGCAAGGACAATCACATTCCACTCATGAGAATTTCAATACCATGTGTTCTTTCTCTGGTTTAAAAAATTAGAAAGAGGTTCTCTTTCATGACATTGAATGACAACTGGTAGAAAATATTGCAGGACATTTTTCTTCAAGATGCAGGTAAATAACCCTGGCAACATGACAGCATTAACAATGAAATCTTGGTAGTATGAATTATGACAATATTGTTGAAAGATGATAACTATAATATTAGCAGTATTGTAAAATTAACTGTAAAGATAATAATCATGCTAACCACAATAGCAACCATGATGATAATAGTGATTATTATCCCTTATTTTTGTCCTGCCATTTTGGCACTGTTTACTTCTGAGAATATAGTTCTGGCCCCCAAAAGTTTGCCCATCTCTGATCTACAGTAACTGGAGAGGATGGTTCAAATTGGATGCGATCCATCTTCTGTGAGTGGGAAAGGGTAAAACCTTTCTTTCCCCAGGTGGATCATTTTTAAAAATTCCCTCAGTATGGAATGTAAAATAAAATAAAATAAAATAAAATAAAATCCTTTATTGGTGTGCCAATGCTAATTGTTTTTGTTTACTTCCTGTGGGAAAAGACATGATTCAGAAATAAAGCAACTGGCGGAGGAAAGAAGAATTGATCTAATCTGTAGGAGGCCCTAGAATAACAGTCACAAGTTCAATTGCATGATGCTGTATATAGATAAAATAATGCATAATTTAACCCCTGTTCCAACTCCATACCATAAAGGATCATCATTAGCTTTCCATGGAATAACTCAAATTAATTCTGACTGGTTACCATTTTATAGCTGCAGAGCACATAGCTTCATATGACTGTATTATCCAAAATCTCAAAGTAATAATAAAAGCAGATAGATTTTAGATAGACCAAACTGTCTGACTCATCCTATTTGGAATAGTAGTAGGTTCATATTTCATTAGTCAATCTCTTCCAACCTCAGATACAACGATCAGCCCACTGCTGAGTTTTGGTAAATGCTAAATCTCCTTATCCCTAAAATAGGTGTTACTGGGCACAAGATCTGTTCCATCTAATGTCCTGCCACTCTTTGTTCTGGTCCCTGATCACTTTGAGGAAGGGTGATGAATGGCCTAATGATGAAGGACCAGAACAGATCATATTAGGATCACTGTCATAGCATTACTCAACTTTGAAGTAAATAATATTTTTAGTTTCCACAATGAGGATGGAGTGGTTGCAACAGCAGTGGCTACCCTAGGAAGAAAGGTTTGATGCCTCCCCCCCCCCCCCAAAAAAAGTCTGTGCAATGCTCTAACGTAACAGAGAAGCAAAATATTGTGGAAATAATCTGCTTGGAGGCAACAACATATCTTCTCACATAACTCTATTTAAGAAACAAGCCCTTGCACCACAGACTCCTCCCACATCCTACACTTAAGTGTTAAGACATATATATGTAACAAGCATGTGAGGTATGGGGATAGTTCCCCAGCTTAATTCCATAGCTTTGCTTCTGCATTATTTGTGGCAAGAAAGCCAGGTACAAATATTCTTGATCTCTTTTACAGGGGGGCGGGGGAGCCCTAATATAGGCAGTGGGCCCTACTACCCACACTATCAACCCTCTTATCAGTGTCTTATTTGGCATTGGCCCTCTGAGATGATCTAATAGATAGTTTCTGATTCTGAAAGCCAGAATGCAGGTTGTCCTTGGAAAAATGGATAAGTAACCTATTGATGCCAACAATTACTTATGTTCCTTAGATAGTGGCAAGATTAAATGATAATATATCCAGCCTAGGAAAAAGCCTACCTGAAAGATAATTGCTTTGCATAAACTGTCCACATACTCCATTATGTGGGTTGGCAGAAGAAGAATACTATTTTTATTTCATAAAGCACTCTGAGATAAGCAGAGAAAATCTGTTTTAAGTTATGTATTTTAAATAAAGAATGGCACTAGTAGCTTAATTAACAATAAAATAAAATTTAGAAAAAAGAAGAGCTGAATACAAGTTAAAATGTTAAAGAAACAGTGAGGAAAGACTAGTAAGAAAAGGGTGGGCAGGAGGACAGAAGTGATACAGGAACCTACCTCTGATGCCATGAAACCAAAATCAATATATATCAAAATCCTGAGGTCCAAATAATGGAACTAAAGATCTCCAAGCCATCCTTTACTGGTCACTGGAGGACTAAGCATTCTGCTATCCAGTTGCCTTTGCAGTTGAACATCCCATAACTGTTCTACATGAAAACCTTGTTGCACAGTGCACTCTTCTGCTTCCTTTCTCCTTAGAAATTCATTTGCTTTCTTTTTCTCTTTTCATTTCCCAAAACACACATTCCATGCACAGTTGAACTAGACAGAAAGCAAAGCACATCACTTCTGCCTCCCAATGGATCCCCAGTTCCGTGAAAGTGATAGAATTCTCAGCCGTCAGTCCAACTTGATTGTTTTTTCTTCTGTTATGGACAAGCTGTGAGTGACTCCACAGTTAAGCTGACATACAGACGCACACGCACATACTTGCGGGAACATCTTTTTTTTTTCCTTTTTTTCCCATGAGGATTTTTTTTTTCCTTTTTGCAAAAAAATGCAAGCAAAAGAAAAAACAGGGTTTTCTATTGAAGGTACAACTCTTCTTCAATATGAAGACATTAACTGGATTGGTCTGGATCCCCCATGCAGTGGTCAGTGAAGTCCTTTGTAACTGATGACACAATGCCTTGATGTTCTTATTTAACTGTAGGGACTGTTGAAGAACATTCTCCATAGTTTATGAGCCAAAGAGGGAAATGGGTGGATAAGAGTGACTCTGGAAGGAGAACTAAAGAAGAGAAGGAAGGGAATCTGACTGCTGAAGTTTGTTGCTCTGGGTTGCCTCTTTCTTCTCCACTGGCCTCTTGACTACTGCTCACTGGTGGTGGGATTGAAGTCTTTTTTCTTCCCAACACACATTGGTTTTCTTCACTTTTTTTAAATATATGATTTTTACATATTTATACTTATTTATATGCTGTTTCCCATGGCATCAGTAAATGTGCTTCTGTTGGTGTGAGAAACATAATTTGCCACTTAGAAACAAGTTCCATATATTCTTTGTCTGCAGCGCATACGAGTTCTCAGACAATTATCCAATCTCTACAGACATCACACTGCCTTGTCAGCCTCCCCTCCCCTCCCACATCCAACCCTCCTCTGTCCTCCCCTCTTTTTTCCCATTGTTGTAAGAAGACACGAAGCATCATGCCATCGCAGTTGGTGACTGGCTCATCTGTACTCTCATAGACTGGACACTGCTCAGGATCTTCTTCTGGTGTCCGGCTAAAGTCACCCCTATTCTTAGGAGATCTCTGCAAAAGATAAGAGACAGGATCATACTTGTGGAGCAGAGGCCTTTGTCTCCTCTGCTTATATGGACAAGATACATGAGCTGGCAAATTCAAAATGTAGTTGCAGAAGGTGAAGCTGGTAACCCAAGATGAGCAATCAGCACTGATAAAAGATGTTGAATGAATGTACATGTGCATGATTCAAAAGAATATTTTTTTTCTCAAACCCATAACAAATAGAAGTTTAAGTAAAGGATCAGGGAGTTTGTTTTCCTTTCCTTGAAGATGCTAACTTCCCAGGTATCTTGAGATGATAAGCTACTCTGTTGTTATAAGAGAGGATAATGTAAGCAAGGAGAAGAATTTCTGAGCTAAATTAACTGGTCACTACATGAATCCTCTATATTAAATGTTAGAGTTGTTGTATTCTCTGAATGAAAAGAACAATGTGAGACACTCCCCAGTTTATGGGCTCAAATTTCGCAAAGATCTACTTGGAAGCTGGCAGCTTGTGAGTGAACACTAAAAACTGTAAGGTGCTGACTGAAGAGATTGTGAAGATGCATGAAACTGATGGATATACAGTATGGTGGATGCAAGGAACCTGTGGGAATTTCCAGAGCACAAAAGGATTATGGCGGCACATAGGCCTGCAAAGAGAAGCAAAGGAAGAGTGGGGAAGTGCTTTTGGATGGAGGCATGTTGCCTTGCAAGTTATGAATGATCTGCTTTCCTGACTTTTATATGTATTTCTCATCGGTGATTTTTTGTATTAATTCCAAAAGCAGTTAATAATAAATAAAACATCCATTAAACAGTTTAAATAAAACCATCTAAACAAAAACAAACCAAAATGGTAATAAAATTCATTTAAGAGATAAGCATAAATCAGTTAATTTTCATAGGCCAACCAAAACAATAATAAACAATATATTTCTGCCTGTTTTCAGAAGGTTAGCATGTTCCTGATGCCAAAATCCTGTCTCTGATCCAAAGTTAGTCTGTTGATTACTTGAAGCATGAAAAGAAAAGCTGGATCTCATCTTCTTCCATCACTGAAGCAAATAGAGAAATAAGAAGGTGCCACTTACTCCGATGTCATTTGTGCAACTAACTGAAGGGATGTGAAGCCAGCAGTTAGAAAACTGTCTCTGTACTGGTTCATTTTGATGGCACTCAGCCAATCTTCTACTGAGGTAAAGGCAGTGAAATCTGGGATGGAGCGATCCAACAGTGGCTGAGAAGGCCTAGAACAGAAGACAAGCAATGGGTCAGAGGGAAAATTATGGGATTGAATTTAGAACAGAGAAATAGACAGTAAAAGTTGAATTGTTAAATTCCTTTTAGTCTCTTTCCACTAATTTGCTTGGTCCTCTGCTACAGTCCATTTGAAAGTGGAGCAAATCTGGTGTCTGCTTTGCCATCTTCATGGAATTTAGCTCATTCTACCTCCTAATTCCTAGGTTTCAGCCTCCCTAACAAATGGAATTTTTTTCAAGTAGAAATATGGCTTGATGGTTTTGCATCTCTTCTTCTTTCCTTCCTTGTATATGAGCAGACAAATGCACATAGTTTGAATTTTAAAAAATGGATTTGGATGACCGGGAAAGTTGCAAGCAGTGAGTTTTGTTTCCTTTCGGTATAGAGTGGGGATGAGGACTTACGGCAAGTCAGGGTGCATCAGTGAATTTTTGCTCCTTAAAGCTTATATGGAATGGGTTTTGAGGGATTGGGAAGCAGAAATGGTAGCAGTGAGAACATGCGGGGATTATATCAGCACTACAGATAGACTGACTGATGCACATATTAACGTAACCTCCCCATGCATGCATATATACATCCAGAATTACTTAATTGGGAGTTGAAATGATAGGAAGTGCTCAAAGTGTATCACATTACAGTATCTGCAATCAGTCCAGAGGACTCAGAGACTCCTGCATATATGGAGCTGTTTGGCATCAAAGGTTGAATTTTCCATACTGCACAGAATCCTGGACGTTTGTACAACCTGCAGCAGGAATGGCAGAGATAGGAATTCCCAACCATTTCTATTACTCAAGCAGTGAGGTGAGGGAAGAAGAGGATATAATTTGCTAAAAATGGATCCCTGGATGCTTCTGGTTTTGTCATATAGCATCATGAATATAATTCTTCCTGTGACCTGGATCATGGGCAAGTATTGGGCTCTCTTGCCCCCTTTTTTCCCCTGTAGGAAATGCAAGAGAAGGGCAGAAAGAGCTAAAGAATCAGCAAGCCCTGAGTGGAAATAAGACCAAATTCATTGAATACTGACTCGCACATAATTCAGGTTTGTCTGCTCTGTTTTGCTCTTGGCTTATAATCATAATCATGGTCTTCTAAAGCTTTAATTGATTAGGCAAACTGGAATAAGCAAGAGTAAATTTTAATCAGTGGAACTGAAGTAAATGCAGAGTTATTGATAGTTTGGGGATTTTAATGTTCTTTCATGTTATTGTAATAGCAGCTGAAAAAGAAATCCTGGTCATTTCTTGTAACAACAATTAGAAACTTTCATTAATTAAAACTATAAATTATCTAATGCTCCTTTTTCAGAAAGGAACTTATAAGGAGGTTTGATACTATGCACATTTATTTAAATTTAATTGATTAATTAAAGAGTGATAACTGATCCTCTAAGTATCCTTTAACTAGCTGTAGCTTTATTCGTAAATCTCAATACCATGTTTTAGGCCCCAGTTAAAACATAGTAACACATGTGGAAACTTACACAGCGGTGATGGTAGCCACAGTTTTGAGGCTTGCTGGATTTCGGATCATTTTATCTAAAGTGTTAACTATTTCAGCAAAGCGTGGCCTGGTGTTGCGGTCTTTCTGCCAGCAATCTAACATAAGTTGATGTAGAGCAGCTGGGCAGTCCATGGGTGGAGGGAGCCGGTAGTCTTGCTCAATTGCGTTAATTACCTATAAATATATATATGTGTGTGTGTGTCAATGTATTAGAGCAAAATGTAATTCAGAAAATCATTGCAGTTAAATTTACAGTTTAATCAGAATGTAAGTCTCTTAAACCATTGCTACATATGAATAACCTTCCATATTTATTCACTTTGTCACCGTTTTTGTTTTTTCTTTATATTTGTCCACAATCAGGAACATAAAAAAAAACCCTGAAAGTTCCAGGATTTAATATTCAGTTGTGTTCTCCATCTTTCTCAGAATTTACTATTTATCAAAGGTAGATTTGTTTCCTCCATGTTTGAAATAAGGGCTATGACCGAGAAGCTACCAAAGCTGAATCCCCAGGCAAAGGAAGAAAACAAAATAGGTAGTATCTTAATGGACTGCATGATATACACACATGCAAACTTACCACGGAAATGTTAGTGAATTTCATATGTGAATCAAATTTGACATGTTTTATAAACATGCTTCTTTCTGGCTTACACAATAAAGGCAATGAGATGGAACTCTGATCACATTGCTGGTTGTGTTGGTAGCAACCATCACATGGGATGAATCATCTGAATTTGGACTGTGACACATAAAATTTAAATCCTCTGTAACTGCCAGGATCCTGATCATAACCAGCTACACTTATGACACTTACTTGCTGTAGTAGGGAAACTTGCACTGGCACCAACAGGAAGTCCAATCACAATGCAAAGAGCAACATTAGAGATCTGGATTGGCATACATCCCAAGGTCCTCCTACAGCTCTCTCTCTCTAATAAAGCTTTAGTAAGGATTTCTATTGTTTGCTTATCTGGATTGAAATATGGGCTACAGAATATTTTCAATTTTGTGAACTCAAAACTAGATTAAACCAGCTGGAATTCCAATTCAGCGTTCCTACCCTTTGCACTCCTACCTTCTTCACCCTCAAAAATGGAGCCCTTTTTAAGTTGAATCATTTCAGCACACTAATAGCATGCAATCAGGAGTAAAGGAAATAGCTTGCCCTCTGCACACAAGGAGCAACAAAACAGTGCTGGCTCTGGAGAAAAAAAGGGTATTCAGAGGTTAATTTGACTTATCTTGCTTCGAGATAAAGGCAGTCCCTTCCCTGTTAGCAGTCGCTACACTCACTATTTCTGCCTATCATGCTGTAGCACAGAACTTCATCAAGGCTCAACGCCTAGCTCATAAAGTCTCTGAAATATTTCAAAAGCCTACCAGGCTCCTAGTGTCCAATTACCACACACTGGCTGGCTTGTCTTTCCAGTTCCTCTCCACTTCTCCGTTTCTTTAATCTCTGACACTCTTTCTTACAGGAAAGGTTCAAGGGGAAAGCAGCAGCAGCAACAGCCCAGGGTTTGTATCTCCCAGTTAGCATTGCCAAGTGGGTCTCTGTAGCTCAGCATGCACTGAGGCTGGAGCCAACAAGTTATGTCTGAAAGTCACTAGTATGTAAAGCAGATATCCTCACCATGCTCAGAGGGAGATCACTGTGGTTTAGTTATTACAGACAGGGGTGCTTTTTAAGCAGGGGCTGCATTTGTACAATACTGTATACAGTTACTGTATAGTATAATGTATGGTGGTTGCTAAATTGCAGACGAACATTCATCTTCACTCCAGTCTTCTTTGCAACTGGAAATGGGGCTACCTTTTCTTCTGCTACACAGCCATTAAGGCGAAACTGAGCTGTTCAATCCTAAACAGAACAGGCTCATTGATTGCACAGTTGCCACACACTCTCTTCCTTGACGGTAAACTCAGTTAATTCTTGACAGGAAATTATTATAAACCAGAGGAGGCATAGGTCAATGGTAGAGCACATCTGTATGCTGTGCATACAGAAGGCCCAGATTCATTCCATATGGGTGAAAAAGCCTAACAGAGTTCACAAACCTTGAGGGTGCACTTGGATGTATTAAAATAAAGGCCGGGGGGGGGGGGAATGCTTTCACAGAGTGTGGCTAAGGATGACTTAAGCCTGTCTCATTCATCACTGGGAAGCAAGATGGAGGTGACATCATGGACTATGGTAGAAAAAAAAGAAGTTTCAGATAGGTTTGTGCTTTAGTTAGGGGGAAATGGGGAAAGCCCTCATACTTCCACCATTCTCTCTAGAGCCATTACATCTATAACTAAAAATAACTTCTGCATTCAGAAGAAGTGCCTGCAAAGCAGGCACTGGGGACCCATAATAGAGAAGGATTTTTGTACCCTATATGCAAAAATCCTACTTAATGTGAAAGCGTTTGGACATGTTGCTGGACTAAATGGATCCAAACTCTTCTTCCTGTATAAGACGTTTGCCCTTAGACCAGGCAGAAATACATCTAATGTACTGGGGAGGGGGAAAAAACCCAAACGTATTATACAAGTATCTGCTATAAATTTCCTCATAGCAACACAGGTGCATTATTTCTGTCTTCAACATTTAATAACAACAGTGTGTTTAACAACCATGTTCTTCCACTGCTAGAGAAATCCAAGGAAAATTTTACTGTGTTGTGCAGGAGGCTTCATAAACTTACATCTTGATTGGACATATCCCAATAGGGTCTTTCTCCAAATGACATTACTTCCCACATAACAATACCATAACTCCATACATCACTAGCGGATGTGAATTTGCGGTAGGCAATAGCTTCTGGTGCTGTCCACCTTACTGGAATTTTCCCACCCTAAAAGAGAGTAATCACAAAGGTGGGAGTTAATTACAAGCAGTAGAATATATCAAGGGTTCCCTGTATGATTTAACTTATTTAATAGGTACATATTTATCTAAATCTATTGCAATTTCCAAATATGTTCAATAGCAGCATAGTCTGAAACTCAGAAGGAAATTGCTGAAATTCAATTTTGTGATGTTTTCCATAGGTAGGACACACTTTCCCCTCTTGTCCCCTCTTTCTCTTGCAAATGAAGGCGGGCATTTTTCAAATATTACATTTTATTGATTAACACATTAATGCCCTCAAATTACCCTGGGTTCTGTTATACTTTAGGGGTTTACTTCATCAGTACAAGCATCTTAGTATTAATGGCAGATTGTTAACATTGGATACATGATCCCCAAATCCACCAAATTGTTTCTTGATGGTGCAGAATATAGAAGGAGTCACCTGGTGTCCTGGTTTCCATCTCTGTTCTACTACTATTATGCATATTTGCTTCTTGTGATCTTATGCTGCTGAGAAACTGAATTTAAAAAGAGGAGCTTTTTGCTGCAAAAACATGACTAGGCCATGATTTAATGATTTAAGAGAAGTGAGGTTTGGCCTAATATTGTTTGTTTAGTTTTGGGTTTGACTCTAGCTATTATAGTTTATAAATCATGGTTTGTACCTTAGCATATTGATCCAAATCAATTGTGATTTAGTAAATAAATCATGGTTAAATATGGTTTAATGCAATAAGTGACACCAGTTATTTTCTAAACACAACTGAGTTCTATGAAGAGCAAGAAAATGTTTTCCAGCAGCAATTATAAGTATGATTGTTATTCATTAATGTCTTTCCCCTAGGAATTCAAGGTATATGTCATTCCCTTCTTCATTTTTTCTCCATATCCCTGGGAGGGAAGTTGACCTGGAAAGAGAGTGATTAGCTCCAAGTCCAGTGAACATCTCAAGAGAAGCTAGCTGGCCAATGAAGATTGGTCATTGACTACAGTTGGCTTTTACATAGTTTGATATATTCCCAGAAATAATCCTAGAAACTATAGCCATGTACAAGTAGTAAAAGGTTTCTGTGAATCATAATTTCCAGGGTTTTATAGGTAGAGACAAAACAATTCAACTGGTTCAAATTATTGTAATAATGCAAGCCCAAGAACAGAGCTTGCTTCATGGCTATAGCTAATATGCTTCATTTGTTTCATGCCAGAGACACTAGTATTTTCTGCATGAGAAAAGAAATTAGCATTGTGACATTTATTCCAGCTGTAGTATTCAGCATAAACAGTAGCTAAGCTAACAAAATCTCAAGCTCATGAATGCCAGTGGACAAGCAAGTGTTTTGGAAAGGACAGCATGTTTCCTACAGAGAATACGTAGGTGTGCTCCCACTTCTAGGCCCAACAGCAGACGTCAAAGGCTGACAGCAACAGCTGTTTCCTTGCACCTCTTTGCATATCAAGTAGCAACAATGGTCTTCAGGGTTTTATCCTGAGTGACACTTCCTCACCCTTGGCTGTTTGGTATTGTGAAGCACGAACACTTTTTTGCTTCGGGCACTTTCCCCTAAGAAAGATGGCAAGGGAAGGGCAAGGAATTGGGGTTGCCTTTGGCACATATATGACAGCTCATCACAATTTGCTGAGCATACCAGATGAAGCAAAGCAAGCGTTTCAGTTTCTTGGTTTAAATTATATATTTCCAGTGATATGAGTTAACTAATATAGGTACCCTTTCATTACACTTCAGAATACATTTCTAAACACCAATCACTGAATGAGTCCATCTCATCAGTATTAGAAAGGAAAAAAGAATACCCATGGCTTGAATGAAGTGCCAGGTAAGATGACTGGCTTCTTTGAACAATTTTTTTCTAATGCAGAAAATAGCCTTATGCTTTCATACATTGCATTATACTATAATGTGCTTTGCTTAACTGGTTTACTGACAGGTGTGATGCTGCTGTCATTTGTAAACCATAGCTTTAGCCTAATATTATGTATGCATCAGGCCATTAAGGTTTATTCAACAAACCATGGTTAAAACCAAACATTGCTTAGTGCAGAAGTGGGGTGACCATTTGGTGATCAGAGCAGAAGTACTGAGTGGTGCAATAAGGCAAAGTAGATGGGGCCAGATTGCATGTGTGAGTGGAACTATGCTTTTTCTCTTGGGGGGGGGAGTTGGCTTTTTTCTTCATTTTTTCTGACTGTATTAAATCTATTTTAAGGAGCACACTACATGTGCACAACTTTAAGATAGGTGGACTTCAACTCCCAGAATTCCCAAGCCAGCATATGTTGAAGTCCACATATCTCAAAGGGTGCTGAAGTTGAGAAATACTGATCTAAATGATAAAACTAGCCAAACTATGTTGTAGTTAAGCAGTTATTTGGGCAGGCAAAAGGAGGAGTTGCTCCATAACAGAACCAGGGCTGGGCAACAGAAGTAAACAGGGGGGAGAAAATATCAGAATCATTAACAGTGCCTGGGTTATTATCAAGTACTTCTGTGGTTTGACTAGGAAACTGGTATGAATCAGGAGTGAGCTAGCTTTCTGAAACTTTTCTTGGGCTGATGAATGAATTATCTGATTTCTCTCTTCCTCTAGATAAGAAGGAAATATTTGTTAATTTTTCTGAGTTAACTTAATCTACCTTGGAAAAAATATCCACTACCACAAGCTTTACCTCAAGCTCAGATACTTTGGTCACCTAATGCGAAGAGAGGACTCTTTGGAAAAGACCGTGATGCTGG